GCATAATTAAGAAGGATATTTCAAAATGCAAACAAACGTGTTTTATCTTTTTTTTTTATCCTGTTTCTCTGAAGAACCAGTATAAAAGCAGTAGAATCGAACTACGAAGCCAGTCCAAACGCAAAACTCAGAATGATGCAATCTAAAATCGTTGTTTTTGCTTTGATCGTTTTATTGGGGGTGGTTAGTGTGATGCCATCGCCACTAGCAGATGAAAGTAAGTGTTATTTTCTATATTAACATTGTATTGAGAGAGAATTATGATTTTATTAAATAATTTCGTTACAGTTATTTTAAGAGATAGACGAGCTGCTCAAAGTTTCCAATGTTCCGCTTGCCCATTTTATTGTAAATGTGGTGGGGCGTGTCTTAAAGGAAATTGCGTCTGCTTATCTTGTCCTGGATCGACTACAACGAGACGAACCATAATTGGATAAACATTTTTTCTACGAAAAAAATTACTTTAAGATGTATTAAAATTTAATCTTTCGTTTTAAAACTATGTATTCACTTAAATGTGTTTGATTTAATTATTAAAAAATTGTTAAAATGCTGTCGTATTTAATTGATTTAAATAATATTTTAGATATCAATCAATAATGTAAATTAGTGGTGGAACGGATATCCGGTATGTGGCCTATCCGGCCATTTTTTAAAATCCGGCCGGATACCGGATAGTTACCAAATTACAAAAGGATATTAAAAACCTATTACTTAGTACTCCACCATTCAGGAATTAGTATCTCTTTTAGATTTTGGATATTGCAGATAATAATCAAGTTCAACCCCAATAGGACTTTTTTCATTGAATACAACTTTATTTATATCAAGTTTGTCATTAGCAACAATCCCAATACGATATATAAAATCTCTTGCTGTAGTTTCGTCTAGTTTTCTTCTCTTCGCTTGTAATTCATCAGCACATTCATTACTAACAGAACTGTCGTCGTTATCACTTTCGATTATTAATTAAAGTATCCTCTTTTTAATCCAAAAAGCCATTTTGAAAAATCGCTTTTAGTTTTTGAGAAATAAATTTTTGAAGTGATCGACAATTTTTTCGACTTTCGCAATTTTCGCCGATTAAGTTTTAAAAATTCGTATAAAATCGAGTTCTTTGAATATGAGTATGAAAATTTCCCAAAATGTTAATAAAAGTGTCCTCTTTCCAATGAACCAACCTATTTTGAAAAATAGCTTTTAGTTTTTGAGAAAACAATATTTGAAGTTTTGATAAAATTTTCGATGTTGCACTTTTCAACAATAACTTTCAAAATTCGCTATAAATTTAATTTCTTGTAGGATCCTTGTGGAAATATCACCAATTATTAATTAAAGTATCCCCTTTTTAATGCAACAAGCCGTTTTGAAAAATTGCTGTTAGTTTTTGAGAAATAAATTTTTGAAATAATCGATATTTTTTCGAATTTTGCAATTTTCGACGATTAAGTTTTAAAAATTCGTATAAAATCTAGTTCTTGGAATATTAATATGAAAATTTCCCAAAGTGTTAATAAAAGTATCCTCTTTCCAATGAACCCCAACCCGTTTTGAAAAATAGCTTTTAGTTTTTGAGAAAACAATATTTGAAGTTTTGATAAAATTTTCGATGTTACAATTTTAATCTATAATTTTCAAAATTTGCTATAAAATTAATTTCTTGAAGGATCCTTGTGGAAATATCGCCAATTATTAATTAAAGTATCCTCTTTTTAATGCAAAAAGCCGTTTTGAAATTCTTACCGAATTGATACA